ACAAGTAGTGCCAGTGGCTTATTTTCCCGCATTCTGCTTTGCGCTGCAAATTCAAACTAATCCCCTGTAAGATGTCCACACACACCGAGCATTTCCTCTCGCCATTAGCCATTAGCCAGCCAGCCAGCCAGCCAGGCACTTGGCGGGGACGGTGGCACACAGAGAGATGGGTGATCGCCACTTCCTGGGACACAAGCGCGCGATCCGCGGCCGTCGCTGTTAATGTGTGACTTTTGCTGTGTTTTTCAACGACATTAATTTTGTGTGTTGGATCTTAAGCCGGATTTAGGTAAGCAGCTCAGCGATCGTCGACGAGCAAGCAGCAGCGGCAGCAGCGTCGCATTAAAAACGCTTCCAGACGCTCCGGCCGCTCCAGCTTTGGTCACATTTTGTTGGGCCCGCTTAGGAAATATAATCCCTTTTGTCGATGCCAGGCATGATCGCCGCTTACTCACTGCGACGGCGATGGCGATGGCGAAGGCGACGGCTACAGCGATCACCTGTTCGGTATCGATATATACCCATACGCTCCGGTCCGTCTCGCGCTCTTTATAATGTGTCGCACATTAGTTAGCAGTTAATACTTTAAATAAGACGAGGTTACCGACATTTTGTCTGTGTTGGGCTTTAAAGAAATATGCTCGGAAGCCGATTGTCGCTGTGACTCGTAGAAATCGCCGGCTGCTGTGGCGGCTTATGATTTTCAACGGGGCGTATTAGTGATAACTAATAAATCTTCAGCGCCCCGAAAATACCTTCGTGTAAGCCCCGCCATCGTCATCGTGATCAGAACCAAAGTTTATAATCACAGAAACGCCTCAACTGTCTCTACAAGTTAAATATATATAAGAGCATCATGCGGCATATATATATATAGATACGATATTCATTTCATTTCCACTTGTCTCAACCCACTTGTCATAATTCTATAAACATTCGGAAATTTATGTCCGCCGGAGGAATACGGATTTGGCTGGTCTATATAAAAATAGTTGCGGAGGAGACGGGAACCGATTTCAGACAGTCTCGTATATCTACGGGGAACAAGCTAAATCCACTAATTAAGAATGAAAAAGGTGACAATGGGGGAGGCAACATTTGGAGATGAGTCTCGAAATGCGTAAATTGTATAAAATTCGATTCTGTTTTTCGTGTTTTGTCACAGTCCGTGCATTCCGATTAAGCTGAATGACAAATGCCCAAACAAATACAGAGAGGCATCGGATCCAGCCGCCCTACAAATTAATTACCCAAAAGTTGTCACTATCATTCGGAACTTTTCCTCTTTTTTTTCGGTTTCAGTTTCGGTTTCGGTTCTTGTACACGTATTCTTTTATCAGCTTTCGGTTCGCCTTAAGCTACAAAGCCTGAACCGCTTTTATCGCAATGTCTTACAAATCGTTTTATCAAGGTGTCATTAGCTGCGAGCCAACAACAACTGCCGAAAGGTGTTCTATGATAAGTGCAGAAAGGAAAACCTCAACAAGTCGAACACGTTTTGTTGATTATCTGAGGAGCCGCAGAGCGGAGGAGAGCGCTGGCTCTGGCGGCCTCTTTGAAAGCGATTCCGATTCCGGCCGGGGAATAGAAAACCAAAGACCGGAGAAACATGAGCACACACACACACGCAGGAAAACCGATCACAAAATATAGTAATAGTGGCAGGGAATTGATTTAAGGCCGCTCTGCAAGTGCCAAAATACTCGAAGTAATGAAGAAACTGACAACGTGTAATTAACTTAAAGCGTTTTTCGGTGTTTTGATATTCCTGCCGCTCCCTATGATCATCGAGTGCCTAGTACTCGGTGCTATCTCAGGTCCAGGGGCTCTTAGTTTGATTGAATCGAAGCTGTGAACTGAAGTCAGGTCTCAATCTGAAGCTGAATCTGAATCAGTAACTGAATCTGATGCTGAATCTGAATCTGACTCCGAATCCGAATCCGAATCAGAGGCCAAGTCCAGCGACTTATGATAATAATCATTATAAATTATTATAATCCAATCGGCTTTGAATAATTAATAAATACGAGATATTTGTTGTGGCTGAATATATATATATAACTATATATATATATCGCTCATACGCGAACTCAGCGAAGGCGCATAATCGGGCCGTAAAAAGCCGCTCAACTGACAGATCGGGGCGCGGGGCTGCTGAGAAAGCGTCGAATGAAATGCTAAAAATGTGTTACAATCAACCAGAGGCAGCTAAGGAGATCGGTATGGATTGGGAGGGGAACAGGCCTAAGCCCTGATAAATACGGGGCTGCCCGGCTAAAGAACTGAGAAAAAAAAAGAGGTGCTAGACCCCTAAGGAAGAAAAGAAAGCCAGAAGAAGTCAGAAGGCGGCCCTAACAACAGCCACAAAGATGACAAACAGTTTGGACATTTATGAGCGGCATTTAATGGACATTTGACTACCGGAATTTAACGAAACCGAAAACGTGGGAAGGGGCCCTGCCAGCTCCCTGCTCTCGCAGAAGAATGCATTTGATTGGGACTCCGACTCCGACTCCGACTCCGACTTTGATTCGATGCGCGACCGGATTAACCCCGATTATCATTAGTCTTGGTCGCAGATCGCTGGGGAAAAAGGCGGCCAAGGAAATGACTTTTCGATGATCATGGCGGTGAGCAGGAAGCAGCGGTGAAGAAGATTTCAATTAATAAATATTCCATTATCTAAGACCTCCCTTCTCCTGCCCCTAACACTTTCAGATTAGACAAAATCGAACCATTTATAATTTATAAGACGGCCTATCTGACTGACGAGGTGATCTAACCATGTGCGAAGAGCCAGAGACTCGCCGGGCATTATTATCTGTGTCCCGCGTTCGATTTCGATATTCTCCCCCCTCGAGAAAAAAAAACCCAAATAAAATTATCACAACAATAAAACTAAATGCTTTATAATTAGTTTGCAAACCCAAAGAAGTCACTCGGACACGCACAAGCACACACACAAGCACACACACCAGCCAGGCACGGATTTGCTATTGAAAATGATTTGTTATAGTTTACGAAAGAATTCACATTTATTTATACCCATTCTGGCCATACTGGTTTATTATCTGGCCGGGCCAACGGAGGACGCCGCCTCCCGACCAACTTACGCCGTCTTATCTTAATCCCATTCACTAAGCATATGCGTCGACACATAAAACTGTCAAAAAACAAATAGAACTGAAAAAAAAAGAAAACAAAAAAAAACCGAAAAGAGATGAAACGAATCGATCTAAAGCCGAACTATCGAATGCCCTCTAGCACAGGAATCGAAATTGGAATTAAGTGTTGTGAAATAGAATTAACTAAATTGTTCTCTAGAGAAAAATTAAACCTATATCGGTTGCGACTCTGCTTGAGTCACTCTTTCAATTATAGAAATTTCGAAATCGGCATTATCGAAAGGGGAAGACTTAGGCCCTCTCGAAGGGGTTTGAGAATATGAATAATAAATCTCAGGGGATCCATTTTGATTCCTTAGGTACACTTTAATCGTGGCTATATACTTTATATAGTATAATCTTCCGCTTGAAACTTGCGATTAGGCGCCCAGAGTATTCCCCCTGGCAAAAGGGTATTTGAAATTACTGGCATGCCAGCGGCTTTCGAGCTGTTTGTTTTCGAGAGCTTTTCGATTTGGCCCGCACTATAATTCTTGTGGCATGATTTCTCGGCCAAAAGACAATGGCGGCGGGTCCCCCAGTTATTGAGATTTGTTTAATATACAACACAGACATATTCGGAATCAAAGGGAAATAAGATCCATAAATTCTTGGATTAGTCACCCCCCTTCCGTGGCTTTTTTCGGGGTTTTGGGTAAGCGATTTCGAAGCGATATCAATGGGTTGAGCGAGCGGCGGTCTAGACCTCGGTGCCAGATAAATAATAATTACACTCACACAACATAATCAATTATGTCTGCTAATAAACCGACGGACGAACGCACACACACCCAGATATCTGGACATGTGTCCGAGGAGGGTATGGGTATGGGTATGGGTATCGGAGGTGGACTAATCACGCCAGCATGTTCATAATCAATTTTATCGCACTTATTTGGATTAATTGCGATATCGCTGACAGGGCAGAAGCGCTGGGGCTGCGATAAAAAGCGGCGCACAACGGTGACGCGCTGGCAAACCCCAAGCCCCAAAATGAGACATACTCTGCCCTATGGGGTAGTTACCCCTCTTCCAGTACCCAGAACTCCGTACCATTCCGATATCTAGGCTCGTCGTCACCGCCTTATGCCGAAATTACCAGCATTTGACAAAGTTCCGTCGGGATTATCTTATCTGGCTGGCAAAAGCTCTCCCTCCCGCTCCCTCATCACCGGAGAAGTCAGTCTGGTTTGGGGATCGGCTTTACAATGCAATTAGCGGCCGAACAAGGCAGGGCAGGGCTTATCGCAACACCGATCTCAAAAATCTCGGCCGATAAGGATTATCTTAATCTGCATAAATAGCGAAACGAGCGCATATCTACACCCAGGGCCTTATCACCATCGCTGGGCCATATGTTTGCCTTCAACTGATTCACTCGGGATCGGGGTTTGGGGAGTTACCGCACACAGCTGCGGTCAAAAACTAATGGCACGTTGTTTGCGAAATATTAGAAAGTCTACGTTTTATTTAGTTAATCTTTAGAATGTTTCTATCTGTAGTCTTTCGCTTTAAAAACATTAAATATATAATTCAAAAATCTGAAAAAATGTATGATAGCAAGTTAAGTACATGGGTTATTATCCCTTAAAACCTAAAAAAAATACTCTTAATTAACCGTTAAAAAAAAAAAACAAGATATTATAATTTCCTTAAAGCTTTCTCCTTCACTATCTTCTTAACCGTAACTGTGTGACATGGTCGATCTCTGACTAATGGCTGTAAAGTGCCGCCGGCAAAGCGGAGCAGATCTCACTACTCAGAGGGTGGTTTTTTTTTTTTTTTTTTGGATGGGGATCCAGAGATCGTAACTATATAACTGTGTGGAGAACTCACCTGCTGGCCGGCGTTGGCCGCCACCCAGGCCTCGGCGAAGGTCTCCATGGCGCTCTGGAAGTCCATCTCGCTGGCAATTCAAAGTTCTAATCACTGACTCGACAGTTGGCGTATTTCGTTCTTTTATGGCCAGATGCAAGCGCTTTGGCATTAATTGCAATTCGGGATGGTTCGCTGTGATTTATTTGATTTACTTGCAATTTGCGACCGCGATAAGGAAGGGAGCTCTCCCGCTCGATTTTGGTTTCAATGATTTTTCCCCTTCTATTTATATATTATTTTCTTGTATTTTTGTTTTGTGTTTTCTGGACGCAAATTAGACACACGCACACACACTCGCGCAAACGCACACACGCTGAGGTAAAGGTAAAGGTAAAACGCGCGTTTTCTGTTGGAACGGTGACGGATTCGATGACGCCAGTTGCAGTTGCCTCTGTACAAGTCCAAATAGGTGTTGTTGGGGGCGACGCGACATCATTAGTGCCATGAAATCGGGCTGATCGCGTCGCTGCGTCACCAGGACTAGCAGCGTGTCCAATCCGCGGCAATGGCAACAAAGGTTCCGGCACATCCAGCGAAGCGTTCAGGCTAGCTCTGAGCTGGCTATGTGGCTTTGTGGCTTGCAGAGTCCTTTGGCTTTGCCCTAATAGATCGATCTCCTCCTGGCTCAATGGAATCTCCTTGCAGGTGGGAACTGATTGGTGACTAAGAGCGGACGCGTCAAGACCTCTCACAGTGAAGAGTTCAGCTCAGCTAGTTTAGAGCTGGCTGTATGGGTGTGTGGCATGCAGAGTCCTTTGGCTTTGCCCTAATAGATCTCCTCCTGGTTCACTTGAATCTTCTCGCAGGTGGTGACTAACTGGTGACTGAGAGCGGACGCGTCAACCTCTCGCAGCACAAGTTGGGAGACAACTGACGGCATTCTTTCGGCGTCCAGTCGATTGTGCCGGTGCCGGCACTCGGGCTCGTTCTCGGTTACGGTCTCAACTCAACCCCCTTCAATTTCCGCTGGCTGTTGGTGTGCGTGAGAGAAAAATGGAGAGCTGCTCTCTGGCAGTATATGAAGGTGCGTCTGTGTGGGTGTCTGAAATTGTTAAGAGGTGGTGCGAAATAGTAGTAGATAAGCTTAGTGATAGCAGACTATACACTCCTGCCACAATTATACGACATCCTGAAAGTTTGAGTGTCGACCCTCGTAGGAAAATCGGGAAGCATACTACAACAAAATCAAGTATGTGGAATTGAAGCTTAATGAATTCCACTTAAAATCTTATTTTCTTATCTCAGATTGCATCTCGCGTTTTAAATAGCGTTAAAAAAAAAACCACAATAGCCAGATTTTCTTCCCAAAACATTGCGTATCCGCCTCTGAAACTGCGTTTAGAAAAATTAAGTGGAACCTTACGCAAATCTCTCCAATAGTGCAGAAACCTTCAGATTTTAAGAAGAATTCATTAAGTTTGAATTTTGCATACTTTATTTTGGTTGTAAGTGTATTTCGATCATCTTAAAAACCTTATACGCAGTTTTATCCCCAAACAAATCGGCCAACAGTATACGATTTTTGTATGCTATCTTTATTGCCTTTTAAAAAAATTGTATCTTAAAGATACTTTATCTCAAAATGAAGTAGCAGAAAAGGGATTCAAAAAGGTAGTAGCGCAATAGTAGTAAAAATACTACGAAATTCCATACTGCTGAGCGAGGCAAGCAAATGGAAGTGCTTGTGTGCGTTGGTGTGCGACCAAAACAAAGCACACACACAGGAGCAGTGAGCGTGGAGAGAGAAGCGTTTTCGGAGAGCCAGAGAGCAGCTCTCTTTCTCACGCACACATACATAGATATGAAAACCTGTTCCGGCGCAGAATTGCACTTGTCGTCGTCGCTCTCTGCCTTCGCCCCAAAACCCCCCATGCCACCTTATGCCTTGGCTGCGCGTTTTCTTTTATTTTTTGTGCGCTGTGGCGAAACTCAATGGATTTGCTGCAAATTCGGGTGGAATTATGCCACACACACAGGGCAACGAACAGCAGCACACACACACGCATCCCTACACCGTGTAGAGTGGGCGTGGGCGTCGGCTAAGCAGGTGCGAGTGCGAGCGGTGCGGCAACAGGGTATTCGGGTATTCGGGATGAAAGAGTAAATCGTGCTTATTCCCCCCGAGGCGGGGGAGTGGCAACACCCACTCGGCACTTGGCACCTCCGTCAACGGTGAATGGCGACGGCCTTCGGTTGGCACTCGGCAAATAGCGCACGAAGTGGATTTTGTAGAGCCGTGGGGATGAAGGAGGAGGATGTGGCTTCCCCCGGAAGACAGGAGATAAGAGCGCAGATAATGCGCGCGCATTACATGTGATTAGGTGTCCGTCCGGGCGACAGGATTTAGCCAACCGCGTTCGAGTAACTGGTAAATAGGGTTTTCTATGTACAGCGCTGCGAGGAGAACAGTAGGAGGAAAAAATCCAAAGTGGGTGGAGTTGCAGGGAGGTAATACATAATGATCTCGGGATCTGGTATTCATGTGGGAAAGAAGTGTATACTCCTTATGAATCCTCCATTATCTATAAAGTAAGTTAAAAACGATGCAAAACCGATTAAACAAAAACATTCTATCCAAAAAACGAAGGATACTAATATCCTTTTAAAATCCTATATTCCCAAAACAATACATAACATAAAAAACCCCAAAACTCATGTTAGATTATCCTTGAAATAATCATGATTTTATCCCATTTCTTTTCAGAATTTCCTTTTTCCCCCACTTCCCCAATGCGCAAGCTCTCCCCTTCTCCCACTCACGTGCTCTTTCTCCCTCGCTCACCTATAGCGCTTTCCCTCGCTCGGCTGCTCTCTCGCACTTACACACACACACACAACACACACTGGCCCAACTGGCTCTCTCTCTGTCGCTCCAATGGCCTCGTGCCAGAGCGAGATAGCATCGAAAAAATTAGAGCAAAGAGAGATGAGCAAAGCGTAAACCAGGCGAAAAACGCCAAAGAATACAAGATACGAAAAAAAAGAGGAAAACACGAAACGAAATCAACATAAAAAGCGCCGGCAAACCAGTTCGGGATAGACTCCGCCCCCGTGGCTCGCTGATTGGCTAAGCGAGCGCTTTGCCCCGGCGACTTCATCTTGTTCTTATTTCCTATATTCTTTTTCCCGTTGCTCCGAGACTGCGGTTTTATCGCCTCCCACCCCAGTTCTCCTTCTTACCCCCTCCTACAGTCCTTCCCAGTCCTTTATGGCTCTCCCTCTGCTTCCGACGTTGCCGTTATTTGCGGAGCTTTACGAAATTTCGGGGCTCAACATCTTTTGCTGCTCTTGGCATTTTAGATAGAAACCCGCACACACACACACACACAGTCAACTTGGCACACAGGGGCATCCTTTTATGTGGCACACAAATACATTTCCATGTGGCATGTAATTCCAGGTCCTGAATAGGGAAACTTAATTAATTCCCCAGCATAAGTCAAGTTAATAACCCAACTGCCAAGTAAGTAAAGGAATGCTCAGATAGTATAGGATATTTAACTTAAAAATGTTGCAATATTTAAAAAGCAAAACTCTTAGCTAATCTCCAATGTTTTTGTTTTAGTTAAATGGTTTATAGTGTCGGAAATGACTGCTTTACTAAATAAAATCATAATACTCCTTAAAAAAAAACTGAATGTTTAAATTCTTTGCATGGATATTTATCCCTATTTTGATATAATAATTTTGTTGACAAATCAAAATTTATAAATATCATAAATAAGTCAAAAAAGCAATGGATTCAATTCAATTAAAACACATTTTATACATTTAAAAGGTTTAGATTTAAAGTAGTAATCATAAGAATATCTAATATATATAATTTTTATCTTTGAAAACAAATTTTAACTTATATTTGTTTCACCCAGTTTATTATTTCTCCTATATGTACCTATGTATTTACTTAACTTTTTAGCCTACACCTTTCTTTCTTATACAATATAAATTATATTATATTAGTGAATGTTGTTTATTTCCTTAACTTTCTACTGATTGTTTAATACTTTGTTTCTAAAGAATTCTCCTTATGGGTTTTTCGCCTTTTATGAGTAAACACATTCCGAATTTCCGGTTCGATGACATCTTTTGGGCCACCGAGCGCGCTGCAAAATTTTCCAACGGGCCCCAAAAATAAACCCATGTGTCTGAGTGAGTGGCCGCCCATTCTTCGAACGTAAATTATATTTACTGTTAGCCAACTCATCATAAACTCCCGCCTCCCCCACAGCCACTCACTCGCATCCTGTGCTGGCCACATTGTGCGGCAAAATATTAAAATAAGCAAGAACGCGACATTGCCGGGCTAAAAAAGACCTGCACATGCTGGGCGTGTGCCGTTGTATTTGTGGGGGGGGTGGGATATATGTAGGTGGTGGGGAAGGTGGAAAAGCAAAAGATCTCCTCTCGGAACGCGGAAAATCAATAATTCTATTAAAGCTTGAGTTTGGCGCTTGGCGAATGCCGTGTGCTCTGGGTTCAGTTTGAACTTTTGAATATTTTCGACGCGCCCTACACTGACAGAAAAATTGTAATTTTGTGATTTGAGAATATATTCTCTCCAGTATAAATGGCTATAAAGCTAACTTTTTAATATTTGCTTTGACCCCAATATCTTTCCAAAAACACTGAAATGGAACGAGCTGGAAAAGACTTTTATGAAAACTATATTGTTTTTCTATTTTATTTTTAAATACTTTTATTAATATAAAAAATGATAAACTATAAAGGAATTCCATTTCATAAGAAATTCTGCTGGTATTCCTATTTTTTCAACAGTTCCGACCAGACTGTGTGGCGCTATAACGTGTGGGCAAGTGATTCAACTTTAAGCGTTTGGCGGGCTTCATCAGGGTTGACGAGGGAATGAGGACTGGGGGGCTCGAGAATGGACAGTGGGTCGGTTTTGGCCCCTTCCTGTTACCGCTATTACGGAATGTGCTGGCCATCAGCCGCGCTAAGAGCCCTCGTTGCCGTCATTGCCCCATCAACATCATCGCAGCCATCATCCGGACACTGGCACAAGCGGGGACACGGATACGGACACGGGCACGGGCAGGGAGACGGATGCTGTAACTACCCGTCATCAGCATCATCAGCCACCAGCAACCCCATACCCGAGCACAAGCATCCTTCGGTGTCATTGTCGGCGTAATGACAAAAGGACATTCATTAAGTTTTTGATTTCTGATTTTATTGTTGATTAAACGCATCGCAGCCCCTTTTTTTCAGCGCCCGTGGCCGGGGTTGGGTAATGCCGAGAAGGATACAGTGTCCTGGCTGGCATTGTCCCGTCTCTATCTCCCAGCTCTCGGCTCTGAGCATTGAGCACTTCCGGCGAGAGCGTCAACTTGACATTTCCGCTTCGCTCCGCGTTGCTGGGGCGTCTTTATTTGGGTGGTCCTGCTGCCAGCCACGCTGCCTGGCTTATCAGCCCACTTGAGCACTCAAGGATACGCCCGACAGCCAGCAGCCAGGCCATCGTCCCCACATAGGACTTATGTACAGAAGTATTTACAGGCGCAGGCTGGCTGCTGGCCAACCAATTCGAATGCCCGATTAGGGAGCTTCGGTATTATCCTGCAGCCAGGATGTGTGTGCCACTGGAGTGCTGCCATTCGCCTGGCTCAAGTATCGACGTCCTGCGAGCCCGGAGCTGGGGGCTGGGATAACCACGGCTGGCGGTGCCATTGGAGCTCTTCAGCTAGAGCTCCGTGGCAATGCGCCTGCGCCAATTTAGGGTTTTCCTTTATTTTTTCCCCCAATATACTTGTATATATTCTCCCTGCGGATATTGTACATATACATATGTATGAGCCAAGCCCCTTATGTAGGCGATTATGTAGTTTCAAGTGCTATTTACTCGCCTGAACCAAACGTAGGGATTTG